TGGTGCTGGGGGATTGAACCGCGGTCCCTGATGCTTTTGCTAAGCTTGTTCTAAGTAGGTGCTTTAGACCACTGAGCCATCTCTCCAGCCCGATTTAAATTTTTTTATTGGAACATGTTTGCAGTATACAGTGATTACATTCATCTTGAGTTGGTGCATGTATACAGCAATATGAATTCTTTTTATATACTTTTTCCTTTTTCTCCCCTCTGCTCCATCTCCTGATCCTCTTCCCATTTGCAAAAGATCTAACAGTATTTTAATTTATTAGTAGGTGTTTGCCGCACACAACGATTGCATTCATTGTGGGATTTGATGCCTGTACGTGGAGCTTCTTAATTCTTTTTACATCCTACCCTCCATCTCTTGGGAAAATAAGTACATCTGGTTCTTAATGATTTGATGCTTCACTTCTAAAGCAACCAAACAAACAAAACTCTCTATCAGAATCATTTCAAAAATGAAAATGCCTTGAGTCATGTGTTTACAAAGAATGACATTTTTTACCTTATTAATATTATTCATATTCCAAAGCATTTTCATGCCAGAAGAGTGAATCTAAAAGTTGCTAGAAAAGGAGGTTTTTGGGGATGGGGATGTAGCTAAGCAGCACAAGTGCCTGCCTTACAAGTGCAAGGTAATGAGTTTGAGTCTCTGTACCAAAAAATAAAAAGTGATACAAGAAGAAGTTTTCGTAGGTTTTCTCAGATGTGGAATCTGGGGAAACTCAAAGAGCTTGAGATTTTTGACAGGGTTAAAGCCAACAAAATTCTAGGCCTGCTACTGCCCAACTAGTTCTCTCTTCCCTAGTTTGGAATGAACTTTCTCCAGATAAATAAATACTCTTCATTCACTCAAGAGTGAATGTAATATATATATATATATATATATATATATATATATATATATATATATTCATTTTAAGCTTTAAGCTTAGGAAGTTATGGACAATCAAAATGATCATTCTTTCTATTTGTTTGACATTTAAAAAACTGTTCCTCTTAGCTCCTGGGGCAAATGGAAAATAGGCTCAGAGTCTAAGCTGGATTCAAAGACAGACACTAGCTGGATGTCCTTGGGAAATGACTTAACTTCTTTATCTCTCAGTTCCCTCATTTGTAAAATACAGATACATAATGACAATATCCTCCTCAATATGTAGCGATACAGATTAAAAA